TGCCTTGTGGACTGCCCCTCTGGTGACATCTGACCTAGGGCCTCATCACCCTGGGGAACTTTTCGATGGTTCCACGACTTGGAGGAACCAGGAAGAGGAGGCAACCTCTCTGTCCTCCAGGGGTCTTGGTGCCCTTCACGGAGTCAGGAAGCACATCTGGAACCCTCTGAGCTGACCCCTTTCCCCACCCCAAGACTGGTTCTCCGAGTCCACGCTGGCAAGGTGAAATGCAAGGGATCCACGAAGCGCCAAGACCCGGCTCTCAAGCCGAGAGCCAAGGGACCCCCCTGATTTCCATGCACCCCATCCTCCCCAACCTTTCCCTTCCCACTCAGCTTAATGTCCCCTCCTGTCCGAGATCCAGGCCGTAGTTTCTCTCTGGTCATTACAGGCGGCTGGCGCCAGTGTCCCCCAGGTGAGGGGTCTCCAAGGGACAGTGAGCGAAAGCCGGACCGGATCGCCAGGCGAGGTGGAATGGCTTCTGATGCTGGTGTGGTCGGCGGCCAGGATCAGAATTCATTAGATTTACACACAACACAGACAAATACTAAAAGCACGGAGCTGCCCCGCGTTGCTGCAGAGCCTGCAGAGACAAGCTCCTTCAAAGGACTCACCGCTGGCACAACCTTTTGGAAGTGCAATTTGGCAAAATCTCTTGGCCTCGAGAACACACTCTTTGACTCCTTGACCAAGCAATGCCGTTGTATAAATCTGGGGTATAAAAAAAGTGCCTAAAGGCTAGGGTCCTTGGACAAGGGTGTGCCCTGCAGCCATGTTTGCAGACGCAGAAGGTCTAGAACACGCGTGTCCACCAGTGGAAAGATGCGCTGGGCATCGGTACATGGCACTGCGGGAATGTGCAGCCGCCCGCGAGGGCAAGCGGCGATGCTCATGACAGACGCACCACGGAGAAAGGCGGGCGGCGGAGTGAGGTGTACACTCCATCCGTGGCAGTGAAAGCAAATGACAAGGTTACCCCTAGATAAGACCATGTGTACATTTGGAAGGCAGATAGAGAAGGGCGTGAACAGACACAGTCCAGTTAATAACTCTGGAAACCTAGCAGGGCGCTTGGAAAGGACGGTTAACGTCCTTGTTTCACTGGTTGCAGTGAGAATGTTACGCTTTTATTAACAATAACAACAATTAAACACTCACCTTTTATCAAAACCTGTATGTTGCAAAGATAAGACCTCTGACGGTCTTGTAAGCCAGGGGTGAGATCCGCCCCAGAACATCCAATGACTCTTCAAATTCTGCAGAAATCCAGCAAACTGCATCCTGCCCGAGAAGGGGTGGTGAGTCCCAGGGAATTCAGATCACATCAGGGCTGCAGGGCTCTTGACTCCTACCAGACTTTATCCTGACATGGCGAGCAATGTGGCTGTCCCCCACCCTTGCCACCTGTCAGAACACAAGGTAGGGGTCAAGGATTCTGGAGTGACCTTGACCCATTCCCACAGGAGAGGGGAAGTAGGTCTGCGGCAGGAGCCACCTGGAGGCTTAAGCAGCAATGTTGGGCAAGGACAGTGACTTCTCCCCAGGTCCTAGTGGGGCTCTGTCCCTCCCCACCCTCCTCTCCACATACACACAGCATGGTCACAGGCTTTCAATGTGATTGAAGACTCAGAACGCAACAATTTATGGCATCTTCTCTCCTGGGATAGGTGTTGAGGGGGACACGGGGGAAGGGCTGCTCAGAAGTGTCCTTCATCCTGGGCAAGAGACAGAGACAGAGGACAGGCCCTGCAGGGAGCCAGGAAGGAGAAAGCTCCCTCACAAACCACTCCCCCCGACAACCCCACTGTCCTTGCGGGCACTGGGTAATTAATTCTCTGTGACTCCAGATGTTCAGCAGCTGTCTTGGCCACTTCCGCTCCTTCTTCTGACCTTGTATCCGCCAGGAAGCATCCCCTCCTGTCCTTGGGCTCCAAGCCACCCCCACCTTCCCTATACCCCATTTCCTGAGCAGAGGCGTTTGTGCAGACTCAGCTCCCCCTCCCGCCAGGACGGCTTCAGCTTTCCTGAGGCCTGGGCAGTGCTCCCTGAGTGTGCCGCCGCTGTGGTGGGTCTATGTCCGGCTGGATGCCCTCTGCCAGGGGTTCTAATCCTGGTTCCTGCCCCTCCAGCCTCTGGGACTGGTTTTCTCTCTCTCCTTTTCTTTCTTCTCCAAGGTTGGCTCTGCAGGCTCCCAAAACATAAATCAGGGGCCTCCAGGGAGGCCAACTCCTCGTGGGGGAGGGTGACAGCCCAGTGGGGTAGAGTTCTCAAGACCAGCAGGCCCTGTGGGGGTGGGGTGCACGCTCAGATGTCTGCCTGGAGGGCACAGGGGCTTAGGGGGGTTGCCTCCACACACAGATAAGCAGGGACACAGACCCACCCCCTGCCCTGTTGTGGATACTTCCCTGAACAGATGGGGGTAGGGGCACAAGAGGTCACTACTGTTGCAGCTGGTCCAGTCTGGGGGGCTCTCTTGGAGGGGCGGCTCCCTTCCTGTCACATGTTTTCCTGTCTCAGCAGAGCTGGTGGTTCTGGGGCACTCGGGTGGGCTCCCATGGGCTGGTGGGGTCAGGGGCCAGGACACAGGATAAGACATGGAACCCCTGGGGGCCAGTGGCTCCAGCCTGTTGACCTCTGCCCTGTGGAGTCCAAATTTGATCTCTGGTTCTTCACCTCCTCCTTCTCCTCTGAGCTTTTAGCTTTTTTTTTTTTTTTTTTTGAGCTCAGGGCAGGTGGGCCTGGCTGAAAAAAAGCCTCCATTTCCAAAAAAGTTTCAGTCTCGGAGTAGATCAAGGTGGGAGACTGCCCCCAGGAGAAGCAGGCTCCTCCAAGTAGGATCTTTTCCTAAGGAATCAAAACAAAATGTGGCATGTCCAACATCCTGTGTGGACAATTCTCCAGGACACCTGCTGCTGTGTCTGCAGGGTCCAAACCAGGGATGGGAGCCTTCAAGGCACCCTCCCCCACCCACTGCCTGGACCTGGGCTAAGGAGGCAGGACCCCCAATCAGGTCTCCTCTGCTCTGTTGTCAGGGGTCACTCTTGTGATCTCACACAAATGAGGCTGGAGCCTATGGGCCCCCCCACCTAGGACAGGTAGCACCTTGAGTCTATGAAAGAGGTTCCCAGGAGAGTGAATGTCCCCACCCTCCCCCAAGGTTTCCATCTCCACCCTTGACCACATGGTTCCTCTCCCCACAGGGCCAGGGGTGGACATTTCGGGAGGAGGAGAACCACCAACTCCCATGGGAAGCTCTGCCCATCCCTGGCCCCAGGTGTGGCACCCATGGACTCGTTCCTGGGCAGGGCTCCTGCTGCTGCCCAGGACCTTGTGCAGACAGAAGGGTGGGGACCTTGACCAGGAGCACCGGTGGGCCCTGAGACACACCCTCTTGGTCCTCAGAACCTGACCAATGAGCAGAGGAGCCCCATCTGGGATAAAAACTAGATAATCAGGAAAATCTGTATCTCAGCTAGCTCTGTGTATGTGTGTGTGTGTGTGTGTTCATGTGTGCTGGGGGTAGGATTGCCAGATTTAGCAAAACAACAAAAAACCTGAAAACAGGATATCCAATTAAATTTGAATTTCGGATAAACAATTTTTAAATATAAGTATATTCCCTTTGATATTTGGAACACACTTACACTCGAACAGTAATTACTGTGGCATTCACCTGTAGTCCCAGCTACTTGGGAGCATCATTTGAGCCCAGGAGTTCAAGACCAGCATGGGCAACAGCGAGACCCTATCTCTAAAAAAAAAAAAAAAAAAAAGAAGTATTTGTTGTTTATCTGGGATTCAGATTTAACTGGGTATTCTGCATTTTATCTGGAAACTGGGGATGGGGGGATACCTAGCACCCTCAGTCACTCACTCTGCCAGTTGATCCCTGTCCTTCTGTCCCCAGCTTCTGAAGACAGCAGCTGATGATTCTCAGAGCTGGTGGCGGCTGTTTGGGCCAGGCAGTGCCCAGCCCAGACACAGGGCAGGAGAGCAGAGAGGGGTTGCTGGGGCCTGGGACTCCCCTTTCCCCAAAAGGCTGAGGTCTCGCAGGCAGGCCTGGCTCCTGGGCTCAGAGGCTTTGGCTGCGCTTGCCAGATTCCCTGGTTTCAGCAGTTTTGTTTCAGGTCTGGGGAACTGTTGAGTGGGGAACCCTGAGCCCCGCCTTTCCCTGGGGCTCCCCCTGGTGGCCTATAACCGGCCCCTTCCCCCTCAGGTGGGCTGACCCTTCCCAGGGTAGGGGAAAAAGGGGAACCCGCCAGAGCCCTCCAGAAAAGAGGAAGGTACAGCCTGTGGAGTGGGCGCGGGGGCTCAACCAGGAACTGAAAAAGAGGAACCCCAGCCAGGCAGGACCCACCTGGAGAAGGTCATTGCTGCTGCTGGCAGCCAGTGAAAAGAGGATGCAGAACAGGGGGGATTCTAGCCCACACTCACTCCTTTCCTGAGAGGGAGGTGTTCGGGGCAGGGTTAGCGGGCCAGGGCGGGCCCTGCAGCGGCCCTGGTCCTGACTCTGCCTTTGGCAGAAGACTTAAGCCAGAGGGCGAGGTCGGGTGCTCACAGCAAGCTGTCTTCGCAGTGAGACCCCAGCATGTGCCAGGCAGAGGTCAAGGCTGCCCGTCGCCTGTCTGCTTGCTCATCTTCGGTTTAGGGAAGCAGGAGATGGGAGCTGCCAGGTGTGGGTGGGGGCCCGGTGAAGCAGGCGGAGGGCGTCGCCGCTGCGCGTCCCAGCGCTCCGGTGCGGGGGCGGGGCGGGGCAGAACTTGGGGTGCACCACCCCGGAGCCCTTTGTGCGCCCATCACCCTAGTGTCGCCTCTGCCCCAGCAACAGTGACTCACAAAGCTGGCCCGTGCTGGGCGGAAGCAGCCTCCCCTCGGCCCTGGAAGGCCCAGGTCACAAAGGCCTTTAGGGCCCAGCCTGGAGGAGGCATGCCCCGAGACAGCCCTGTGCAGCGCTCGCCCCTGCAGCCGCTGGCCGGGCCGGGCCTGGGCTGTGGGCCGCGACCCCGGCCCGGCGACTGGGCGTTCGGGCCAGCGCGGAGCGGCCCGTAGCCTCGGCGTCCATGTGTGTCATCTGCTTCATGAAGGCGCTGGTGCACGTGTTTAAGATCTACCTGACCGCCCACTACAGCTACAACTTCCGCAGCTGGCCGGTGGACTTCCGCTGGGATGACGTGCGCGCCGCCGGCGGGGGCGGCCACCGAGCGCTGACGTGCGCCGCGGCCGTCGCGGGCGTCTGGCTGCTGCGCGACGCGGCGCTGGGCGGGGACGCGGCGGGGCGGCCGCCGCGCGGGGCTCGCAGCCAGACGCGGTGCCTGCTGCAGCAGATCCGCGAGCTGCCGGGCCAGCTGGCCAGCTACGCGCTGGCCCACTCGCTGGGCCGCTGGCTCGTGTACCCCGGCTCCATGTTCCTGATGACGCGCGCGCTGCTGCCGCTGCTGCAGCAGGGCCAGGAGCGCCTGGTGGAGCGCTACCGCGGCCGGCGCGCCAAGCTGGTGGCCTGCGACGGCAACGAGATCGACACCATGTTCATGGATCGGCGCCGACGCCCCGGCAGCCACGGTCGCGGGCTTCGCCTCGTGATCTGCTGCGAGGGCAACGCTGGCTTCTACGAGATGGGCTGTCTATCTGCCCCGCTCGAGGCCGGCTACTCGGTGCTGGGGTGGAACCACCCAGGCTTCGGCGGCAGCACGGGCGCGCCCTTCCCTCAGCACGACGCCAACGCCATGGACGTGGTGGTTAAGTACGCGCTACACCGCCTGCACTTCCCGCCGGCGCAGGTGGTGATCTACGGCTGGTCTATTGGCGGCTTCACGGCCACCTGGGCCACCATGACCTACCCAGAGCTGGGTGCGCTGGTGCTCGACGCCACCTTCGACGACCTCGTGCCGCTGGCACTTAAGGTCATGCCCCACAGTTGGAAAGGGCTGGTGGTACGCACCGTGCGCGAGCACTTCAACCTCAATGTCGCGGAGCAGCTGTGCTGCTACCCCGGGCCAGTGCTGCTGCTCCGGCGCACGCAGGACGATGGGGTCAGCACCTCGGGCAACCTGCCCCCGCTGCCGCACGGCGACGTGGAGGGCAACCGCGGCAACGAGCTGCTGCTGCGTCTGCTGCAGCATCGCTACCCAGCCGTGATGGCACGCGAGGGCCAGGCCATCGTGACCCGCTGGCTGCGCGCTGGTAGCTTGGCGCAGGAGGCTGCCTTCTACCTGCGCTACCGCGTGGACGATGAGTGGTGCCTGGAAGTGCTACGCTCCTACCGGGCGCGCCGCGAGGAGGAACTGGAGGATGAAGAGGCCTGGGGGCCGCATGGGCCCGCCTTCCCCTGGCTTGTGGGCCAGGGCCTGAGCCGGAGGCGGCGCCGGCAGCTTGCGCTGTTTCTGGCCCGGAAGCACCTCAAGAATGTGGAAGCAACTCACTGCAGCCCGCTAGAGCCTGAGGACTTCCAGTTGCCCTGGGGGCTGTAGCCCACAAGCCAGTGGTGGTTTGCACGCTCGCTCACCTTCCAGGCTTCTGTTGGTTCACCTTCCCACACCCCCAACCAGTAAAGCTAGCCCTGCCAGGGGATCCTGACCTGGTGTCTTGGGGAGGATGGGCAGTACATGGGGACCTGGTGCCCTCCTTCATGAGAGCATTCTGCCCTTTCCTCTCTTCTTCTCTGATCCCTCCCTCCTTCATTTTCCTCCCAAAACACTTCTGGACATTTGCACCCAGCTCCAGTTTATGGCAATGCTGTGTGGTAGGTGCCTCGATCACCACAAGAGAATGATGGGAGCAGGGGCTGTGGGGCCATCAGGAAGAGCTCTTCACCTGACCTGGGTTCCAGGATGGCTTCTGGGAAGATGACACCAACTGAGTGTTGAAGGGTTGCCCCTAGCTGTGAAAGGAAGACGTTGGCATTGAAGATATAAGACAGGTCTTAGTACGTAGACATCCCCAGAAGTGTGATGCTGCTAATCTGTAGAGTTTTCTCCCCACCCCCACACTTCTGGCTTCTATAGGAGGGGAGAGTAACAGGCAGAGTGGCATGTGGGGCTGCAGACACCTGCACTGACCCTAATTACTCAGTGTCTCCTGGAGCCAGGCCTGGGCTGGGTTTTGCTCCTGATTCAGGGATGCAACGTAGAAGGAGAGACAAGGCCTCTGCTCACCACCATCTATAATGTCGCTTCTTTATATTCTGCCCCGAACTGCACGAAGCAGGGACTGTTGGCTCTCCCTATTGTCCCCGGCCCCTGGACAGGCCAGGTTAGGTTGGACAAGAATCTCTGTAAAAGGTGGCAAGTGGGGAAGACATGTTATTGAGAGCACCAGAGCAGGATAAGGTCGTGATGGTGAAGGCCCTAGCACCGCGCAAAAATACCAGGAGGACACCTGTGGGAGGAGGTGGGCCAGGTGAAGGAAGGGGCAGTGGTTGGGGCTTCCATGCCTAGGGGGTCAGTGCCTGCAGAGTGGCCTGGCTGGAAGGGGGAAGTGCAGTCCACAGGGATCAGATCCTAAAGGGTCGGAATACCATTTAAGGATTTTCTTCCAGGGGCAGGTAGAAGCCAAAGAAGGGAAATTGTGGGACTTGTTTCAGTGGGGCCAGCTGCCCGGTGGTTACACACCTCTCCTTTGAAGTCAGGCAGATTCTTGTTCCAGTCTCCTGGTGGCCCTTCATCCAGCTGAGTGACCTTGGGCGAGTTACTTTAACCTCAGTTTCCTCATCTGTGAAGTGGGGAGGGCTCCAGGACTTGCTCTGTGGTTGCTGTGAAAAGGAGGTGAGACGGCAAAGGGCCGGGCGGCAGGCGAGGGCTTCCCTGCAGCGTCCACGTCCGTGGGAACTCCGCGGGCCGAGACGCGCTGGACTAGAATAATTCAGAGACCGAGACGCCTCCAGCTAGGTCCGAGCAGTCCAGAGGGCAACGGCGCCTGCAGGGCAAGTGGACAGATCGCGGTCTCGTCTTTTTCTACGTAACCCCCATACAGTAAAGTCTCCGTAAAAAGAACTAAACAAACAAAAAAGGACTTCCGGGGGAAAGGTGACCTCAGAATCAGGTGGTCAGGACTTGAAGGGATCTCATAGGGTCTGAGTCTGACCCGCAGAGGGGCGCGAGCCGTGGCGCTCGTAGGTATCGACATACATCCCCGACGGTGCCCTGGGGCTCAGCCCTGGCTTTCCGCAGCACCATGTTGGACGGTCCTCCCACTTCCCACCTCCCCGTGCACCGCTGCTCTGACCGTTCTACCTGTGCGTCTCGTTGGTGGAGCCAACACAGGATGGATGCCCTCAGAACTCAGCCTCCGTTTCTTGCTTCGCCCGCAGCTTCGGCCTATCAGGTTGAACCGGATAAACCGGGACGGGGCCAAGCCACGCTCTCATTGGACGCCGCGTGTGGGGGGCGGGACGAAGGCGGGCCATGCGCTCAAGCGGAAGTGGGCTGTCGCGTCGCCGATTACGTAAGGCCGCGTCGACCGAGGAGGTTCCGCTGGCTCGTGTGTACGCGGCGAGCGACTCCGGGTGCGGCCTGTTTGTTTCCTACAGCTCCGGCAACCGCGACCCAGACGCCAGCTGCGGCCCAGCCGCCGCCTGAACATGGACTCCGCCGGCCAAGGTACCTGCCGGCGCCGCGTCTCCGCCGTAGATGGGCCCGGGCCTCCCCGCGCTCCGCCCCTCCCTGGGGTTTCCTGTACGACTCTGGGTCCCTCAGTCTCTGCCCGCCCGTCCCGCGACCCGTCTCTTTTTTATTTTTATTTTTTGAGACAGAGTCTCACTGTGTTGCCCGGGCTAGAGTGCTGTGGCGTCAGCCTAGCTCACAGCAACCTCAAACTCCTGGGCTCAAGCGATCCTCCTGCCTCAGCCTCCCGAGTAGCTGGGGCTACAGGCATGCACCACCATGCTCGGCTAATTTTTTTTCTATATATATATTTTTAGTTGTCCAGATAATTTCTTTCTATTTTTTTTCAGTAGAGACGGGGTCTCGCTCTTGCTCAGGCTGGTCTCGAACTCCTGACCTTGAGCGATCCACCCGCGTCGGCCTCCCAGAGTGCTAGGATTACAGGCGTGAGCCACCGCGCCCGCCCTCCGCGACCCCTCTTCAGCTCCCGGGCCCCTCAGCTCGAAGCTCTCGGGTCATGGTGTGCATCTTCCGCCCCCGGGTCGGGCTGCTTGCTGGCCTCTCCAGCTGCCCTCCCTGTCTCCCCTGGGACTGTTCCGAGGTCCGCTTCCATGGCGCTCTCCCTTGTTCCCAGAGTTTGCGTTTCCTCACTCCAGGCAGGTCTCGTTATGCCACTCATTCCCCACCCGGCCCGTGCACTGCCGCCTTCCGTCTCTGCGAAGGGGCCTCGCGGACACTCCTGTGGGGACCTGGACCCGGGCCGAGGTGTTGAGGGCGGCTCCGGGGAAGAGGAGGGGAGGTGAAACCGTCCTCCCGTTCTGCGCAGCGCCCCTTGGGCGATAACTCTGCTAGGAGCCCGGCCTACGTAGGGCTTGCCTCGTGGGGAGAGGGGTGGAGTGAGTGTGGGGCACACCCAACGTTCCACGCCAGTTCCCAGAACAGACACCCCAGACCAGCAGGAGGTGACATGTGGAGCAGGCCCAGGAGGTTAAAATCTTGAGAAGATGATACAAGTCTGTCTTCCATTCTGGGGCTCTAGAGAGGGAATGCTAAATTTCTGCGTTGTCATATAACCACACTGGATAAGTCCAGGAAGCTTTTGTAATGTTTGGATCCACATATTAATTATTAGAATTCCTGGGTTCTGGTACATTCTGAAGGTTTTTATACTTTCAGTGGCTATTTACAAAACATTTGGACATCAAACGTCCCCAGGTCTGTTAAATTCAGGAGGCTTTTTACTGTTTGGTTTGCATCTCTAAGCATCCCAAGAACTAGATTCTGATCATAAGAATGATAGAAAACATTTACTGAGTACTTACTGTGTGCTGGACACCATCGTAAGCCTGTTTCTCAAATGATCTTTTACTATTTTCCAAATAACCCTTTGAGATTGGTCTTTCAATTACCCCCATTTTTCAGATAGTATACATTATTTTTTTTTTTTTTTACCTAGGGTGCCAGCCCCACACTTACTTTCTGTAGTAATGTTGGTAAGACTGTCCTGGCCTCAGTCTCATCCATAAATCAGGATGTGAGTGGCTCCTACCTGCAGGGGTGTGGTGAGGTTGGTATCTCACAGAGTGATTGTGAGGTGCCTTGGTACATGCTTGGTAAGTGTCCAGTTTCTATCTGAGGGTGATTTCCATGGAATCCAATTTTAGCTTCATCACCAGAAACTGTCCAAAAGCCTTCTATTTCAGAAATAGAAAAGAAAAATAGTAGAGATTTTAAGGCATTTCCTCAACTTGAGTAGGTTGAACACAGTGAATACAAATAATGAAATAAAATCATGTAGGTTGGTCTCAGATAAAAATCAGAATCAGTTGATAAAAAAGTGGGTATAGTTCATTTAGTAAACATCTGTCGAACACCAAGAAACTGTACAGCTCCAGCTGCGTGAGACACGCGAGGGGAATGAGATGCAGCCAGCTATTTCTACATCGAACATCTTTGTTTTAAGTGCAGTCTATTTTCAGTAGATTCCCTAGGATTTATGCAGTTGACTAACATATCTATAATTAAAGACACTTTCACTTCTCTCCAATCTTTGTGCCTTTTAATTTACTTTTAAACATGTTAGATCAGTGTGCTTATTGTTTTTATTAAAAACACATCAGACACCGTAGTAAGCTTGTTTCTTTACAAACTGCTTCTCAAGAGGGAAGATGTTTTTAATACTAATTGCGTAAGGGTACTGAACAATGGTCATGTGTCTGGAGGTGGAGAGAACTGAAGTTGACCATTTTTCCTTACATGATGTCTTGTAGACTGTCAGTGCGGACAGGAAGATGCATTTAACATGAAGAAAATAGGGTGACAGCAGGAATTTGAATCCGATGTGGGTATAGCTGAAGTGCGTGGACCTCTCCCCATGCTGGCAGCGTCCTGTCTGTGGGATGAGGTCAAGGATGTGATTAACGGGGGTTTTTGTTTTGCTGACTCCCTGCAGGGGCTGGGTGACTAGCACATGCTCCTTGTATATAATTTTAGCAAGTGCCTTGGCGGATGAGTTGAGTGGAAAGTCATCCTTATTGTGTTTAAGCTGCAGTAAGTTCCTTTTCTGTAAACGTTGGAAGATCTGTTAGGTTGGACTGTTTTCTTTATAGTGCGGGTTTCCTGCTTCACTACAGGGTAAACCAGAGTTAGCGTTTGGGTGCCTTGGGCCGACATTTCTAGTACTGGTATTAAGTTTGCATCTCGTGTGGCCTGAGGTTGGGCTGCTCTCATTCTAACGCCTAAGCTGTCTTCACAGACCTTTCAGAGAAGAGGTTTTAGTCTCCAGAGTCTCCTTCCCACCCTTACTTTCCTCCTGCTGGAGACCTCTACCTCATTTAACTCCTAGTAACTTACTTGACGCTTTGCTGCCTCATTTTGTCTCTGACAGACATCAACCTGAATTCTCCTAACAAAGGTCTGCTGTCTGACTCCATGACCGATGTCCCTGTCGACACAGGCGTGGCTGCCCGGACTCTTGCTGTCGAGGGCCTAACGGAGGCTGAGGAGGAGGAGCTCAGGGCCGAGCTCACCAAGGTGCTGTGGCTTGACCGTTTGTCCTGGGGTGACCATGAGTCAAGGCTCTCTCGGGTTCACGAGAGGCCAGTGCTCTGGAAGAGTTGCCTTCCCACCCTGCTCTGTGTTCCCACTGATTACAGGGCTCTCTTTGCATGGCCCAGCTCCACGTGCTTGACTCAGAGCCACCTGACAGTGGACACAGGGCCTGATTTCTTCCTTCCACCTCTGCCTGGCACCTCATAGGTGCTCCGTGAGGAGAATGTGCACACAGGGCTGGCCTCTCTTAGCATGCGATCTTGCTGGGAGTGTCTATGTTGGAATCAATACTTGACAATCATTCTTAAGACCCCGTGAATCTATCTGCCCTGGATCTTAGTTTTTTTCCTAAAAATACTTCTTTTGTAAAAAGTGCTTTTCACCTTGTAATGCAGAGTTTAATAGTGACTCACTTCAGATTCCGGAATCTAGAGGAATGAACTTGGTAGAGTTTGGAGCACTGCTCGTTGCAGGCCTCTTCTCTGTTTTAAGAGGCAAAGCCTATCTTTTATTTTATTTTAAAGAGATGGAGTTTTGTACTGTCACCCAGGCTGGAGTGCAGTTGCACTATATAGCTCACTGCAGCTTTAAATTCCTGATTCTCCGGCCTCAGCCTCCTGAAGTAGCTGGGACTGGAGGCACATGCCACCACACCTGGCTAATTTTTTTTATTTCTTCTAGAGGTGCAGTCTCATTTTGTTGTCCAGGCTGGTCTCAAACTCCTGGCTTCCCAA